TCCCTTTTAGCATATCTTGAAACTTGTCAGTATGCACATTCAGTCAAGAATACCTTTGCCTATGAAAAACCTTCAACTTTAAAATGTTCTTGGGCCGTGATTTTGATATTGGGAACCCTAGCGATGCAGCTCTGTTGCACACCTAAGTGAACAGGAAGAAAAGGAGGACCATGTACCATGACAAATAATAGGTGTAATTTATAAATATTAGGTATATTTTTTAATAAAATATTTTCTGAGAAATACCTTTTCAGATTATCTCTATCTGCATGAAGGGATCAAAATGTAAATCTTAGTTTTGTACCTTGGCAATCTAGAGGTTGATGTCTTTTGCAACAAGACTTCATTGTGTATTAGCATTAAATACACAAACGTGAGGAAGATGTGAGAAAGGGAAGGGCAAGTGCTTTTGTTACTTCATGTTTAGATACAGTCTTCAAGCTGAGGTATATCAGCAGTCCTAATAAACTAGTGAACCTACACATTATTTCCTCTATTACTTATACTTGATGACTCTTTGTATTATAAGGAGGCTGGATAGATTTCAGAACTCATTTAGTTCAACACATAGCTATAGGCAAATTCACATGCAAAGCATCCCAGATGGGGTGCTGTTTATTTCTGAGAAACTGGAGTTCCCTGAGCTCCCTAGTAACCTATTCATATGTGTCATAGCAGGAACCCTCGACAGTTGAAGATTTTTGTCTCTGCAGAGTTCAGAGACATTCTCAGCATTGTACACGCATGACAGAGCTTTCCTCTCTTTGTCGGTGTTTCCTGGTCTGAGAGGCTCTCCCACACATTCGAGTTAGGACATCGTCCTGTGATTGGGTATGTACTCCAGAAATGACAGTGGTGCTGGTGGGCAGTAAACAGCAGATTAGATAATTGCCAGTCCCATGCCAAAGGAAATGATCCTCCAAAGACAGGTGCTAAGGATGCAATCCAGGTAGTCTGCACTTCCCTAATTTCCTCGATTACATATCTCCTTTTACGCTCTGTGTTATACCTAGTAAGTTCCCCCAGATCTAGACTAGACCTCATCAAGAAAAGCAGAATAGCGATGCAATGCAATTTAAGGGAGAGCTGTGTTATGCTATGATATGTGGCCAACGTAAGACCTAAACATCGATGAAGCCCCTGAGGTATAAAAAGTGATTGGTCCAGATAACAGTGCTACTGTGGATTTCAAAGCAAATGCAGACAGACAAGCGAATGTCAGCTCGCAGTTGGGAAACTTCACCGGAGCGAGGGCGGCTTCCCTGAGGACTGGGGCTTGGAAGCAACAGCAAGCAGTTTAGATTATGCTCTCTGCCTGGATAAGCAAATTCAGACGGGCACTTCCTTGGCCAGAATTCCTGGTCGTGGGTACCTGAGTGGGTTTCATAGTCCCTGGAAAGGAAGGTAAATCTCTGCAAACCTCTGCAAACTAATGCTGTTAGGAGAGGCTGGGCCACAAAGGGCAGGTCTTCATCAGGCAACAGGTTTTTCTTTTAAAAGTTTTGATTAATTTTTCATATGTTGAGATCCAGTTCATGCTGAGCCCTTCTATGGACTTGCTCTGTAAAGTAGCGAAGCAGAGGAGTGCGGGGGCTGAGCTCTGCAGCTGACCAGCCTGGATCGATCCTGACTCCTGAGCAGCTTATGAAGAGCTGTTTGAGCATGGGCAAAGTGCTGAACCTACTGAAGCCTCAGTTTTACCACTGCAAAATGGCTGTAATGGTAGAATATAAAGTTTGAACAATGCCTGCCACACAGTCTTTAAATAATGTGCGGATTAGCTAAAGTAAGTATAAAGTGTTTGGTAGACGGTCTATCTCAGAGTTAAATAAGTGGGCACATAAAATGATAGAGAAAGTCAGAAAAGTCCATGTGACGAGTTTACAGAAAAAAAGGAAATGCAATGACCTGCCCTGAGCAAGGCTTAACCTCTTACATCTTTAACTAAGGGAAAAGAATAAAGCACACAATGGTAATAAATTAGGGGGAATATTGGAGTATGGAGAAATTATCATCATGGTTTCCTTTTATTTGTGTTTATTGTGTGGTGGTGGGGTGATTACCAGTTTTATTTGAATGTTTTATAAGCTGTTAGATTTATTTACTGAGAACGAACAGATAAATAGGGATGTTGCTCAGCTGTGTCGTGCCATGGGGTCCCGCAGCTCTCCCGCGACCTTTCCCAGAGGGTTAATTAACCAGGGGAGCTCTCGGTGGAGGGCAGAGGAGGGGAAGGGCCGGGTCTGCTGGGTGACTCATCTCAGTGCGGGGTACAGGCGCCAAATCACCTCTGGCGTGAGCGGTTCCAGGGAGGGGATAAGGCATGGGAGGGAGACTCCGGTGGTACCTTGAGAAAGGCCTACTGACGGGGTTGTGTCAAAGGAGTGTGATCGCTTTAACGTGTCTGGTTTGATGGAAATGGGCATAGCTTCTAATCTTTTCCAACCCTGGACATTCCAGGTTGTACTTTTTAACATTTTGTTTCTCAAAGGCCCCTTCTTATTGTAAGGCGTCTTTAATCCTAAACCTGAGGAGCTCCAGAAACACTTTCCTTCAATGTGTTTTCATGGTGGTCCCTTCTCATTCACGACTCACAGGTGATATGCCACCCCCTCAGGGAGGCCTTCTGTGACTCTCCTACCTAAAGCGGTCCCCATCAGCCACCCCTTCACATTACCTTGCTTCAGCACCCTTGTAAGGGTGTAGCCTAGTGGCTAAGTGCATGGGGTATGGAGCCAGAATCCCTGAGTTCAAACCATAGCTCTGCCTCTTCAACCCCTGACATTGGATATGCCATTACCCTCTGTAGTCTTAGTTTCTTCAGCTGTAAATGAAAGCAATGATTCTAGGATTGCGGGGAAGGCCAATACATGGACGCTGCACCGTGCACAGCATCTTGTAGTGTACGTAAATGTTAGCTACTGCTGTGTTAGCCATCATCACTCTCTGAAATGACCTTCTTTATTTACCCACTTGTTGTTGTCGGTCTCCCCCTGTTAGAATGTAATGCCATGGAAGTAGGGGCTTTTTATTGTTTAGTGCTGGATTTCCAGGATCTAGAACAGGCTTCATAGTAGGAGCTCAATAAATATTTGTTGAATGAATAAATGAATGTTATATTGTATTAATATTTAAATAATTAGCTTGCCTAATTTCAGGTTATGTTGCAAAAACAGATTTACTGAGGAGTCACTATGGCAAAGCAAACAAATGGAACCCAAGCTACTAGGTTTTTGCCTAGATTGAAACTCAAACTACTTACGTATATCATTTTTTTTTACCCATACATCCCACTTTTGGGCAGATCCAAAATTTTACAGGGCTTTAACATCTCTATTTTGTCATGTGAAAATTATACTTTTTTCAGAATATTAAATTATCTATGATATGGCAATACCTCACCTGTCCCACCTGCTTTGCTTCTGGGATATGTCCCTTACAAATCAGGAAAAACCACTAAAGGAGAGGAGCAAATGCTGACAGTTGGAAAAGTAATCCTCAAAAGCAAGCCCTACAGCTGAGGACTGTCAGCAGAACGAGAATAATAAATGCAATGAAGGCAGTGGCTATACTGATGTCTATTAGGGTGAGGGTTGCCCTTCCAATTATTAGAGAATCCTGTCTTGTATCATTTGCCTCGTGAACGCTGGAATGCAAAGAAAGCATCTTTTTTGCATTCAAGTGACAATACTCATTAAACCCATAGCTTACCTATAGAAATCCAAACATACTAATGCTACACAGTAACAACTAATAAATGTATGGTGTTCAGTGAGGTAGGAAAATAAAGATAGTCCTGGGGGTAGACTCTGTTTTGTTTTGTTTTTTCTTCCAACGTATCCCTTTGTAACAGGCCTCTGCAGGTGGAGCGCCCACCTCCTCTCCTTCACTCCAGACCCTGTTTGAGGTTGAGGCCTCCCCACGTGTGCCCTGCGGACTAGGACAGCTCAGCTCAGGGTGGTGCCTGGAGGGGCCTGATCCCCCACCTCCTTTCTTTCTTCTCTGAAGAATTCATGTCAAGTAAAGCACCTAACTCTGACTTTGATGCAGCTGTTAGTGTCTCGATGACTTTTACAAGTTTTTAAAACCTGGTGATAATGACAGTTGCCGTGTCTGACAATGGTCACCCTACAGAGCCTCACCATCAAAAGCCCTAAACTCTAAAACTGGGAAAGGTTGTCCTGGCCACACTTACAGTACATTCTATTTCTGTTTGCCCTCCCACATATAATAAATATTGTTTGACAGATTGGTAAGTGTGTTGGAAAATTGATATGATTCATGTTGCCAAAGGCATTTCATAAATTTCATAGGTCTCAATTTATGTTGCTATAGTAACTAAAATGTTAGAATTTCCTGAGATTAGAAGGCTTTTATATCTTTAACCTTAAAATCATATAATAATGTAGATTATGACACTAGGCTTGGTTTTTGTTGTTGTGAGGAACACATACTCTGTGTATTGAGTATTCTGTGTCTGCTGAGGTATGACTGTTCAATAATTGTGATCTCAAAATTAACATTTCTGATATCCAACCTGATGTTATTATGTACATGTGTGAATTTCAGTGACCAAGATGCTATTAAAATGGATAGTCTTTCTCAAAAGAGAAAGGGAGACTTTGAAAGGTTAAGTGGGAGAAGTGGAATTCTTATAAGCAGCAATCCTGGAACACTCATTTTAAGGGTTGATATAAATTTGGTTCACCTTCTCCAACAAAGTGAATTTCTAGCATGTACTGAAGCCCTCAATGCATTAGCAACAGGCGTTTTAAGACAAGATACTATATTGAGGCATTTGGTGCACCAGCAGCATCTGAAATGAGACTGAGGTGTAATGAAGCCCCTACCTTGAGACAGAGAGTTGCCAACCCTATGGGCTGCTCAAGTTCACATGTGTTGATTATACGGACTGAAAGCAGCTGGGAAATTCAATGCAAACAAAGGATCCAGGATCGACCTAAGAGAGAAGTATTCCCCCCCTCCGGAGCCCAGCTTACCTTGTATCCTGATGATTTGATGTGCACACCCCGTTTGGTCAGAGTAGATTTCATTCGGATGAAAAAGGAACGCTCAAGGGTGTTGTCAGTGGTTAGCACACTGGGGCTGGTTGACTCCACTGAAGAACACAAAAACACACACACGCACGATTTAGATCTCTGCACAGCCCCTCGCAGCCACTGCTCAGGCACAGCCCTTGAGCTCACTAAAAATAAATGACTGATGGGTGCTAAGAGCCAAGTAATCAATTTACCTCATTTAGGAAACATTTACTTTGCGGAAAATAAAAAGGAAAAATGGATGTATCCAAAGTAACTCCATTCCGGTTTCTAGCAAGAGCTTTTCAGGCATTTAAACTTCCAGCAGCTCCCTAAACAGGGTCTGATAATGATAAGTAAGTAAGTAAGTAAGTAATGACAGCGCATCTTGAGGCTTGGCCAGTGCACATGGAGAGAACTCTCCTGAAAAAAGAAAACCTCCAGATTTACGGGATCAACTTAGACTCAGGCAGAGAGCTTCTGAGGAAGGGCAAGGGGCTCGCTCTTTGTTCTCCCTAGAAGCCTGTCTTGTACCCTTTGCTTACCGGAGTTTCAGAGAACCACAAAACCATCAAGGTCATTACTCCTTGTTCTTGAGTTGGTTTTCTTCATTATGGGGAATAAGAAGCATGGGGTCTTCTCAACCGACGCAAGATAGAGGGCCAAGATTGGGACGCACAGACACACACACACAGCAGCTCCTGACCGTGTCACCTTACCCTTCCTGTCACTAATGGCAGCTGTCCCCTGCCCTCATCTGAACAGGACAATAGTCTCTGTGTTTTCCTATCTTTGTTTCGGATATGAGAAAATAATAGTCTCCCCCCTTAAGCGAGACACTCTTTCCCTTTATATATTTTTAGACTAAGTAGAATAGATTTCTTACATATGAAACTTAAAACGGTGGTTTTCAGTCTTGCTGATCTAAAAATGCCTTTATTCAAAAATCTAAAAGGCAAGATAAATCTAATTTCTTTAAAATCAAGCTTCTAAGGTATTTCTTCCTTCAAAAATTAATTTTGACCTTCTTAGGCCTAACAGATACTCTAATTTTATTCTACTAAATAATACTATTAAAGTTTTTCTTATTCTAAAATGAAAAAATAGTTTCAACAACCAAAAGGATTTCTCTTGAGCAGCGCTTATTTTAATATTCTCAAAAGAACAGTGATATTCTCTAGGGCGGGGGTAAAGAGGTAAGGATTAAATACATAGTATGTGAAAATAGTTTTTGAAGCAAAAAATAGGCAAGCAAATGTTTAAATTATAAATTATGATATATAGTCCATATATTTCTAAGAAAAAGAAATCTCTGTTTTTTATATTAAACTTGATGCTCAGACGAAAGAAGAAGGCAAGCTACTATAATGAGAGGAACCTTGCTATTTGTGGTCTGGGGCCTTTCTTGTATTGCTTCTGTCTTAATGTGACTATATTTTCCCATATTTATGGCATTTCTACTCTGGGGTGATGGAACTACTGACAAGTGTCCTTTTCTTATGTGTTTCTCTTAAGATTTTCTTTTTTTTTTTGTTTTAGAGAGAATGGATCTGATGTCATTTTAAATGTACAGCTTTTTATCACTCGAGGGAAAAGCAGAGCCATGTTATATTTAGTACTTTCATTTCTTCTGATTAAATATGAATTACTATGAAATTTTTCTCATCATCTAACACGCCATAATACGCCAACAGCTTTTTAATACACTATATAAGCACAAACTTCTGCTCTAAGAGTTTAATTTGCCCCTCTAATCCAATCACATCAACCTTATTTCTCTTATCAGAGATTCCCATTTTGAATTAAATGAGCTCATTAGTTTTAATCAAAAGCAGAGAGATCAAAACTTAAACGTAAATGCTTTAGATCAAAACTGTCAGTCAGCCGTGCAGTTCTATTTTACTAAAACACAAGATCAGAGACCCTTAGAACCAATTTTTTCTCGTAAGGGATGCCGAGAGCTTGAAGATGCTATATCCTTTTTTTTTTTCCCTCCTTCCCAAGGACAGATTATACATTTAAGGTTAGACTTAATTTATAGCAGTTTTTCATCCTGGTGGAAATGGAAAAGTATGCCAATCTACTGTTGTCTCTCTCACATTTATTGGCACTGGTCCTCAGAGACTTGAACTAACGTGCCGCCATCAGAATCCACGCCACACACTCAACCTTAAAAATTCAGCTCTATTCAGCAAGACCGTGTTTTCAATAGCTGAGGACAAATGAAACTTCCCAGAGAACTGAAAGATGTTTTAGGGGTAGGGTCCTGGATACTGTAGCCCGGTAAGAAAGGAACCACCTACCTGTAGAAAGAAGGTGTAAATTAGGCATCATTAGAAATTACTATTGTGTTCAGGGTGTGGAACTGCACAATAAAACCCTTACTGAGCCCGCTAGAGACTGCAGCGTGGGTGCTTCCCGCTGAACGACGAAATGCGAGACCCAAGCTTTCCAATAAGCTGTGGAGGCTGAACATTGCATCGTGCCCTGACTGAGGCAGTGAACACAGCACCCCCCACCTCCGTATGTTATAACAATAATTGTCTAAACATATAGGGCAGCGTTAATTAAACCCTGGTTGACTGGGGTGAGAGGAACGCTAAGGTCAAGTTTTGCCTCACTGAAGCTGAGATTTAAAATCTAAACGGGTCCTCAAACTTTATTTCAAGAGTGTGGGGTATAGAAGGGTTGAGGAGAAGAACAGGGGTCTACTTAGAAAAAAATTGGATTTTTGCTGAAGATTTCTCTTTTAATTCTATGTGACTTCTAATTCTGGGGAAGGGGCAGGAGTAATGTGCCACACTGTCCCTGTGAAAGGAACACAGAACAGGCTCTTGCAGGTACACACACTCCATGGCCAGGTTTCCTCAAGGGCTGGCCGGGACGCTCTGGTTATCCCAGCTCTGACGATGGTGTCTCGTGTACAAAGGCGTGTTATCTGCATGTGACAGAGGAGAGCAGCTGCTTTAGAGGAGAAGCTTTCTAAGTGTCTCAGGTGAGAAGTGCAATTTTCAGACAGGTTCCGTTGAGAGAGACGCAAGGCAGCTAGGCCCTGATGATGTGCGACAGGATGCAGTGTGACTGTGGCAATGGGCAGGGAAGGGCTGCGTGCGCGCATGCCTGTGTGTGCATCTGTGTGTGTGTGTGTGTGTGTGTTGAGCGGGTGTGAAGAGAGGGTAGAGTAATGAGAAAAGTATCCATAGGGCGGCTGGTGCTACATCAAGACAGTGGGAACCGGTTTATGTCAAACATTTTAGAGTGCTTCCTAGATATCAAAGCCTTTTCTGCCAACTTTTTTGAAGCAGGCCACGATTGCTGCATGCTCTGATAAGAAATTTTTGATTCAGAGAAGTTAGTATCTGCTGTCTGAGACACAGGAAAAATTTCTGGGTAAAACTGGATTAAGTGGTCAAAGCTCAGATGTGCCCAGTTTTGACCTATAAATGATAAACAAGGAGCTGAAAAACAAAAACAAAAATAAGACCCACACAACTCAAAGCTAGATAAAGAAATAGACTCTCTTGTGCTGAATGTCAAGGGCCTCAACTTTTTAATAAATCTAAATTATCTCAGCTATCGAAATGTCAGTTTTTGCATATTTTGTAAAATTTACAGAACAATTTACAGCAAAAGTAATAATTTTTATGTTGGCAAATGCCACCGTAATGTGAAAGAATATTGGTGTTATTCTGTATGCGTTTATGATTCCCTCACTGGTTTTGGAGTCGCTGCTTCCTTATCATTATTTAGAGGCAGGAGGTGGGGTGGGAAGGGTGGAAGGTGGGGAAGGAGGAGGTGGCTGAGGACAATCCAGGTCTCCCTGGCCAGTCCTAGGCCAGGTCTATTCTGAGCACTTTTAGTATCCTCTCCAGCGTCTCTGCAAGTGTGTGAGATCAAGGCATAAAGAGGGCTTTTCTTTTTAGTGCACTCCCAGTGTTTTCAGCACAATTCTAGCATCAGAACCCTTCAGCTGCCACCAAAACTCATGCATGAGAGAGAAAAAAGAAAAATTAAGAAAACGAGTTTTTTAAAAATCCTCACCTGAGGATATGTCTATTAATTTTAGAGAGAGAGAGAGGAAGGGAGAAAGAGAAACTCCAATGTGGGAGAAAAATATCAACATGGAGAGAAACTGCAATCGGTTGCCTCCCACATGCACCCTTACCGGGGATTGAACTTGCAACCTCCGCATGTGCCCTGACAGGGGATTGTATGGGATGATGCTTCAACCAACTGAGCCACCCAGCCTGGGCAAGAAACATCAACTTTTGAGAAAGTGTTTTTACTCTTCAATTGTGAACAAAGTATTTTTCCTTTTAAAGGAGAAGTAGAGTTGGGGGTAAGTCATTAAGATAAGAAGTTATAGAAATATACTTTCCCCCCCTTTCGTTGTCTAAATGAAACTTTCCTTTTTAAATGTTCTGTGCACTAAAGTGCAAATAACCAAAATGACTTTCACAAGGCAAGGGAGAAGATGTTGGTTCTTTTGCAGTTATTGTGATAAAGCCAAGCTGTTTCATTGCAGGACTTTAGAATGAATATGTATCAAGTATATGACAAGTTGTTTTCTTTTTTCTTTTTTGTATGTAATTCATCACTTTATTATTTTTTCTTTTTTTTTTGTATTTTTCCACTATCATTTAGTGCTCTTATACCTTCCTCCCCCCAACAATCACCACACTGTTGTCCATGTCCATGAGTCCTTTTTCCTTTTTGCTCAATCTTTCTGCGCCACCAGCTGTCATCTGCTCTCCATCTAGGAGTCTGTCTCTGTTTTGCTTGTTAGTTCAGTTTGTTTGTTAGATAAGTTGTTTTCTTACAAGTTTTCCTGCCCTTCCTTTGCCACTTGGAAGGTGGGTACAGTCATGTAAATTCTGTGGCCAATGAAATGTGAGCACATCATGTGTCACTTTCAGTGGAATTTTTGAGACAAGCAGTCACGAGGTGCTGCTTTTTCTTCCCCTCTGCTATGGTGACTATCAGCCTGGGTCTTAGAATGAAGACCGCTCAGCCAGCCCTCCCAGAGAGAAATCTTTGTTGTAATTTGGAAATTGTGTTTTACTGCAACATAACTTAGCCC